CAGGAAATTTGGAACTTACATTAGAAACAGTGCATCAAGATTTTTTAAGTTGGCCTGGCAAGGTGGCTCAAGCCTGTAATCCCAGTACTTTGGGAGGCGGAGGTAGGTGGATCACGAGGTCAGGAGATCAGATTATTCTGGGCAACATGATGAAACCCCATCTCTACTAAAAAATACAAAAAATTAGCCAGGCTTGGTAATGCACGCCTGTAGTTCTGGCTACCTGGGAGTCTGAGGCTGGGAATTGCTTGAACACGGGTGGCAGAGGTTGCAGTGAGCCGAGATCGTGCCACTGCACTCCAGCCTGGGTGACACAGTGAGACTCCGTCTCAAAAAAAAAAAAAAAAAAAAAAAAAAAAAAAAAAAAAAAAAAAAAAAAGACTTCTGCTTCTGTTGATAGCTCAACATTGAAGATATTATGAATTTTTAGGTTAAATTTTTTTTCAACATACAGTTTTGGCTTTTGTCAAAAGAATACTGACAGAATTGTCACAGCTATAGCCACGTACACTAAAATCTCATGTACTGATGACACTAGAAACATGAGAGCAGTTGTCATTTGCCCTTCCCAGCTATCACTGCTCCATTTCTTCTGTATCCGCTGGAATGGTTCTGGAGGACGGAGGTGGCTGAGATTATCCAATGGGGCTTGTTGTTTTCTGGACCGAGGCCATTCTCTTAGAGTTTCATGAGGGCAGACTGCCACCACACCACAAATCCCCTCAATTCTGGGAATACCTGAATCCTCCAGGCTTTACAGAGCCATGCAGTGGTGCTGCCATTTAGAAGCTAAGCATCCGTCACCTGGCTGTGTGCTGTATGGCATGACCAATGCTTGGGTGAAATTCACCCAAAACAGCAAATAGTTATTTCTCCCTTTTTTATTTTTATGTGTGATATTATTGGTAACTAAAAAGATCTCTAGTATTCTAGATAGTTTGTATAATTATTTGGGCAGTTCTTACTCTCCAGTAGTTTGTAAAAGTAGAATACTGGTCAGATACAGTGGCTCACAACTGTAATAACAGCACTTCGGATGGCCGAGGCAGGTGAATCACCTGAGGTCAGGAGTTCAAGACCAGCCTGGCCAACATGGTAAAACCCCATCTCTACTAAAAATACAAAAATTAACTGGGCATGATGGTGGGTGCCTGTAGTCCCAGCTACTCGAGAGGTTGAGGAGGGAGAATTGCTTAAACCAGGAAATGGAGGTTGCAGTGGGCAGAGATCATGCCACTGCACTCCAGCCTGGGCAACTGAGCAAGACTCNAAAAAAAAAAAAAAAAGATTTTTTAAGTTATAAAAAACAGAATATGGTAGAACTTTTGGTTAAACAAAAAATGTCTTTAAAGAAGGCCACATTTGTAACTCATCAGTTTAAAAATGAGACTTTGAAGTCCCTGTACCAGGAGACAAAGATGACCTGATGCTGGTGCTGAAAGGCACCTGACTCATCTTATAGCCCAAGCTGCTGTCCTACAGACGTGAAAACCAGACCTAGAGAGGGGAGTTAGGCGTGGCAGGGCTAGGAGAGAGCCAGGTACACTAATGCTATTGGGCAATTGTTTTACATTCTCCTCTGTATGTTCTAAAAGTATGTATTTTTTTTTCTGCAGAGAAAATTAAACTTTAAAAGGCACAAGTCACATGGCCTGCTTTCGACCTGGCATTGGCTGCTGGGATGTCCCCACTGAGGCTTCCCTTAGCCCCCAGGCCCTTCTGCCCATTTCTGCTTCAATTCTGGCTCTCTCTCTCTCAGTCCCTTACGCTTGCTGTTCTCCTCCCTTCCCCCTCCCCCAACAGAGCCCTGCCTGTGCTCTTGCTTCTGAATCGAAAGTCTTCCCTCACTGCTTTGTTATTAACTCCTACTCAACCTTGGGGTCAAGCTGCACTTTCTCAGGATGTCTTTTCTCATCTCCCTGACCATGTAAAATTTGCATATTATAGAGTACTTGAAACCTTTCCTTTACAACTCTGGTCCTAGATGCAGCTTTCATTTGTTTATTGGATTACTTGATTTTTAAATTTTCCTTCTCTGCTGTAAACTCCAAAACAATAGAGATTGTACCTGGAATGACATAGATGTTCAATAACTACTTATTAGATGAATGATCACTGAGGGCTTCCTGAGCACTGGCCTCAGGCCACTCAGTGTCCTCTGGGCTGGATAAGAGCAAAGTTGCACTGCTACATGTTGGGGTTCCTGGAAGGTGCTCTCAGAACTCACCTAGATGCCTGGGAGACCTAGACCCCTGGGCGGATGCTTCTCTTTACATTGCTTTTCTACATATCCACCTATAACACACAATCAGGGCTCCTGTGAAGGTTTGGGGTTCCACAAAGCTATTTCTTCTCTAATCCATCTCATATTTCCAAATTCAGTCTCCTAGTTCATGGTAATCGGGGACTTTGTTTTCAATATGATGTTAGTTTTCTGGGGTCCAGAGGGTAGTTATACATGTGTGTTCATTGAGTAACAAACTTCTAATTTGTATACGTTTCTAGAAGTGTGTTTCATTTCAACAGAAAATTTGAAAACATTTGTAAAAGGCCTTAATAGTAACTTAGATAGTAATAATAAGAGACAAACAGAGGCAGAGAGAAAAACAGAAGAGAAAGAGAGAAATCAAAAAGGGCAATCATAGGGGGTGGTTAGAAAAATCATTGAGCAGCCACACTAAGGAAATATTAAAAACCAAACAACAAAAGGAAATAAGATACAGCTATATGCACTAACCAAATTTATGTTCAATATTCACATATTACATGAAAACAGCCAGTCATAGAGCAACATGTATTATGACCCTATATAATGAAAGAGAAAAGGCTAAGATATGCAATCAATGGAGATTTATTAATGTGTGGCTGTTTGCTTCTTGGCTTTTTCTTCCACTCACACGCCCTATTAAAGAAAAGTATATTTTTGCCCTTTGACCTTTATAATTCTGATACTGAACTATATGTGTTCTGCTGTGCACAGTAAGCCAGGGCAGCCGACAGATCTCAAATCCACCTTTCCGAAGACGTGGCTTCAGGGACATATTTATGGGATGGAGGGGCAAGGTAGTTCGGGGCCTGGGGAAGTGTGGTGGAAGGCAAGGGCAGTGAGGTAAGTAGCATTCTGCACATGCATAGTCAAGCTTCATGGCTCTTCATAAGAAGCATGTTCAGAAAATGGTGACATAACATGATCTGAGGGAAGAGTTTTGGGCCCTCTGACATCAAAGGGTCACCTCTCAGGCATTCATGCAGGTCTAGTTGAAGGGTCAGTGGTTTCAGTGAACTAGAAAAGAGCCAACACCAAGTTCTTAAAAAACAATAAGCAACCATCAGCATGGTAACCTATATGTCACGAATGTTCTCTAAAAGGAAGCTAGCAGATTGCTTAGCTACGTGACATTTTGCTATATAGGTTTTAAGATTAACTAGAAGTAAGTGCAAGGAGGCAAGAAAGGCAGATTCAGTTTGGCGAGCTTCGTCAGGTTACCTCTTGATTTCAACTACTTTCTTCCCTCCCACACAAAATCAATAGAATGGGCTAGACAGAGCATTAGGACAGCTGGAGAAAAGAGGAGAGGTTTTATTCCTAGGTGAATTCCTGTTATTCCTGTGTTTTATTCCTAGGTTATTCTCCTGAACAGAGACTACTAAGATTGCGTAAGTATAGAAACATTAACAAGGGAGACAGAAAAACTCAAACCATCTACATAATCAGGACCAGAACCAGGTGAGATTGAGGAGGAAAGGAGAGTGAGCAAGGAGAGAGAGAGCAAAGAAGCCACAATGTCTGGACGTTAGGAGCATTTCGGAGAGTTTAGTGAGAGGCTGATGAACAGCTGTGGAATATGGAGGAATTGAAAAGGATAGAAATGAGATTTTTCGAAGTATGTATTGGATTTTAAAGAGGATTCCCTACAATATTTTTTGATACAAGAGTGTTGTGCTGGGCTTTGTGGATACCAGTCTCTAAAGAGACTAGACCACAGAGAGCTTCCGCACTCCACTCTCCTGTATTGCAGGACCCACTTGGTGGTACAAGAGGAAAGCGTGGTACTGGCCAAGGCAGTTCCATCCCTGAGTGGGTTTCCAGTGACTGGGCTGCAAGCTTAGGGAGTTTGGATGAAGGGATGGGGGACTGTTTGTGGAGCTACAAGTGTTTAGACATTCAAAGGCAGCAGAGCGGTCAAGACGACCTTCTGCTAGTGTCCAGGGTTGATCTACAGAAGATCGTTTAGAAATAAACACCTGATTCCCTGCTCTTTTCCATTCATTCCTTTATGCATCACCAAACATATCGTCTCCTATGCACCCGGCCTTGTAGGGTTGTTCTGAACACTTGTTACTCCTCTATTTTTTAATGTTTGAATTTTGGAGTCTCTAGTTACGTAAGTCCACCCCAAATTCTCTAGAGCTAGCCAAGCAATGGAGAAGAAAGTGCTAACGAGGATGAGCAACTGCCCTGGGGGCCCCAAAGCCCCTCACACAAGATTCACCTTCCTTTGGAGATGGCTCACCTGCTACAGGTCTGACCTGGTAAATAGCTAATAACTTCGGGGCGGTCCTAGCCTCTTCCCTCAGGCCTTCACCCTATAGTTTTAAGAGGGCAAGCCTATCAGATGAGAAAATGCCCTCTGCACAGTCGTGCAGACATGGTCCAGTGATGCTCCTAAGCAGGTATGATTTCACAATCCCTTCAACACCCAGGAAGACCAGGGCCTAATCATGGCCAACCCCTCTCTGAGACCCATCAAAGGGCAGCCCAGAGGCAGCCCTCAACCCCCAAGTCTCCATTATCAGATGCTGCCAACTTGCATGGGAAAGTTTATTCATAACATTCTAGAACGCATGGGGGTCCTGGGCTGGGATTTCACCAGCTCAGACTGCCTGTTCACATTCCTGCAGATCTTTCCTCTGGCTGAGAAACAAGAGGAAGAAGAGAGAGGCAGAAGGGTGCCTGATACAAATGCGTAAATATGGACCAAACAAACAGACAGACATTACCGTGAATTGCATTCAGAGCTTTATTCTTGCCAAAGTTTGGGGGTTGCACTAACTCTGGCAGGCTGCCTTGGTAGAGAAGCAAAGCACAGAGGCAAAGTGACGAGGTTCTACCTCACTGGCAGTAACAGAGAGGGGGTCAGAAGCTGGTGCATGTTCCAGAAGGGATGGCGGAGCAGTGCATTCTGGAGTTGGACTGTTGTGTGTTTAGCAGCAGCAGTCATCCTCATGGTCACAGCATGCAGGACCTCGGGACCTCATGGGAATAATTCCCAAACAGCCGAACCCAGAGCCACAGCATCCACAGTTACTGCATCCACAGCCGCAGCCACAGCCCCCAGAACCGCAGCCTCCAGAGCTTCCTGAATTCTCACAGCAGCCAGACGATCCTGTGTCGCAGTCCTGGGGTCGCTGAATCCAGCGTCTCAGGGGACTCACCCCGAAGGTCCGGGGAGCCAGACAGCAGTAGCTGGTGGAACAGGGAGCAGAGCATGGATCAGGGACACAGTACCCAGAGGTCGAGCCACTTGCAGGAGCTTGAACATAGTAACTCTGACAAGGAGAAGCACACTGGACATAGCGCGTCTGGGTCTGGCAAGGAGCTGGACATTTGACGTAGGTTGTCTGGCAGGGAGCTGGGCACTTGACAGAAGTTTGGCAGGGAGTTGGGCATTTCACATAGGTCGTTTGGCAGGGAGCTGGGCATTTCACATAGGTCGTCTGGCAGGGAGCTGGGCATTTCACATAGGTTGTCTGGCAGGGAGCTGGGCATTTCACATAGGTTGTCTGGCAGGGAGCTGGGCACTTCACGTAGGTTTGGCAGGGAGTCGGACATTTCACATAGGTTGTCTGGCAGGGAGCTGGGCACTTCACATAGGTTTGAGTCTGGCATGGAACTTGGCACTTCACATAGGTTTGAGTGGGGCATGGAGCAGGGCCCGTCACGCAGACAGTTTTGGTTTGGCATGGAGCTGGGCATTTCACAGAGGCACCATTGGCACCCTGTGCAGCCCCCAGTCCCGAACCTTTCACACAAGATGGAGGGAACTGTGGCTGTGTCTGCTGGTCACACATTGTTCTGTGGCTTTGCAAAATCTGAAAAGAAAGATTTCATCAGAACTGTAAAACTAGGAGGGTTTCCAGGGAAGCCTTCAACATCCCCTTTGGACACAGTGATTTGCAAGTAGGGCTTTCTTGTGACGGTCTCAGACATCCAGAGGTGGTACACTTGGCAGGAGGTGGATTCAGAGCCAGGGACTCTGGGCTCAGCTCCTGCGCCCGTACCTGACTATGTGGCCTGGTACAAGTCACCACTCACCTCTAGTTCTCAGTCTCCACGATGGGAAACGGAGACTTGAAATGATGCTGTCTGTGTTTCTACCCAGCTCTCCAAGCCTCCCCTTGTCTTACTTCAGTGTCTGCATTGTAAATTACCCTTTGGAAATTGCTACTCCCAGATGATTGCCTCCTGCCACAAATTCTCTCCAGGGTGGCGTCCCTTCTTCCTCCCGCCCAGACAAGGAGTACCCAGGAAAGGCGCTTTTACGTCAATGGACCATGAGCCAACATGAGCCAAAGCTGTGCCCGGTAGGGAGCAAAGGACAAGGCTAAATTTGAGCAGGTGTCCACCGTGTGCTCCTCAAACCAGCTGGACTATCACTTGGCCTCATTAGCACATGGACTCAAGAGAGGACTGCACAACTACACTCAGAAGGGGATGGGGAGCCAGTTCTCCAAAGTTTCTTCTTACACAGGAATATCAGCTCAGCTTGACCCTCTCCCTCTCCTCCCACACCCCAGGCTCCAGGTTTCCCACCAGCATTGCCTTCAGCCTCCTTCAGCAGATTTCCTCAGCATCTAGTCCTCACTCACCCTTCATCCCACCCCAGCTTCACCAAGGCTCTGTTTCTCGCCATGTACTTATCCGGTTTAGAGACTTACCCTCTTTGCTGATAGGAGCAAGACTGGAAGAAGTCAGTGATCTGAAAAACTGGCAGGTGGGGAGACCTTTTATAGGGCAGCAATGAGGCAATTTAATGGCATCTAAATGAAGCACCAGAGATCACAAGGAGGAGGGCTGGTGTTGCATTGGCAAGATTCCTCCCCAGTAGGCCTGGCTCCTCGTCAGAGGCAGGGCATGTTTGAGCTTGATGCTGGGTTTTCCCAAACACTAGCTAAATTATTCCTGTTCCCTTCTTCAGGAAACAAGTCAGTCTCCTTTTCCTAGAAGTTATGAGTGATGTCCATGTGATCTATCTCTAATGAAGCTGTTTCTAGGTCACTTGAGTCTTCAAGGACTTATCCAAGGTATAGATTCTCAATTTTTCATACACTGTGCCAAAAGCTAGTGCATGAAAAATTGCGACTCTAACTGTCGATTTGCTACACTTCACTCAGCCTGAGTGTTCTTTCTGCGGGCTTCCATGGTGGCTTCTGCTGATCTAGGTTGCTGAGCAGAGTCTGGCCCGGTGGTGTCTGGCCTAATATAACAGTAGGACCTCAAATCATTGGTTTGTTTCATGAAACATCAGGTTTTTCTAGGTTCATTTGGAAACTGGGTGAGTGCTTGATGATCTCAGACTCCAGGCTGGGGTCTAGACCGCCTCGCCTCAGCCTTCTCCTGCCCCTTAGGCTCTCCTTATTCTTACCTTTCAGGACCTCACTACCAGGTTTCAATTCCAAAGAATCCTGAGCAGGGAAAATTCCAGTCAGATGAATTATGTGTGATAGCAATAATCATAATAATAGAATCTAAAGTTTATTTGAACACTTTATATGTACCAAACAATTCATGAGTCAGTACATTTACAGATGGACACAACTGAGGCCCTGAAGGATTAAGGGAGTTACCGTCATCACAAAGCAGGTAAATAAGGAAGCCAGGCTTCAGATGCAGGCAGTCTGCTTTCATAGGTCACAATCTTTTTCACTAAAGTATGTTGCCTTTTATTTCTGAACATAGCATTGTCCTTGAATCCCTGCTTCTTTTCTTTTCTGCAATGCAGAAGATGTAGAAAGAGAGGTGGGAATATTATCGATTGAGCACTTACTATGTGGTGAATACTGTTCTAGGCTCTTTGCCCGCATTATTTCATTTGATTTTGAAATAACCCTACAAGATAGCTTCATTAGCCCCAGTTTTACATAAAGGAAACTGAGATTCAGAGGTCTATTTTGCCAAGATCATCCCATCAATAGGTAATGGAGTGATATTGGAACCCAAACCTACCCAGCTTCAGACCCCACGCTACTCCCACTGAGCTGTATTGGGCCTCCCTGAAGCAGGTTGTCGTGAATGTAAGTGTAACACTGGTCCAAATGTCAATTCCTTACAGAAGCCAGAGCAGGTTCCACAGTGGCCCCTATGGCATCTCAGGTAAATGGTTCTACCGTATTATACATAATAGATCCCCACATTTCTCAGGACCCATAAACTTTAAGGTTTCTACATTTCCTAAACAAAGAGGATGCAAAGACCCGCTAATTCACAGACCCTCCCCCATGCCAAGACAGGTCTTACAAAATCTTCACCTGAACATGTTTAAAAATCTCCTCAGCCCCACCTGCCAGCCAACCCAGGCTCTAGTAATCAGCAGTCTACTCTCTATTTCTATGAGACCAACATTTTTAGATTCCACGTATAAGTGAAATCATGCAGTATCTGTGTCTAGGCTTGGCTTATTGTGCTTAGTATAATATCTTTTAGGTTCATTCACCTTCTCACAAATGACAGAATTTTCTTGTTTTTATTACTGAATAGTATTCCTTGTGTGTATATATAGCATTTTAAAACATCCTTTTTTTTTTTTTGATTTACACTTAGCTTGATTCCTTATATTGGGTATTGCGAATAGCACTGCAATAAACATGGGAATGCAGAAATCTCTTCAACATTACTGATTTCAATTTCTTTGGATATATGCCTACTGGTGTGATTGCTGAATTATATGCCAGTGCTATTTTTAATTTTTTGAAAGCCTTCCATCCTGCTTTCCACATGCACATGGCTGTACTAGTTTGCATTCCTGCCAGTGGTGTGCTAGATCTTATTTTCTCCACATCCTTGCCTACACGTTATCTTTTGTCTTTCTAATTTCATGTAACATATTGACCTCCAGTTCCATCCATGTTGCTGGAAATAACAGGATTCCACTGCTTTTTATGGCTGGATAGTATTCCATTGTGTGTTCATAACCCATTTTCCTTATTTATTTATTCACTGATGGACACTTAGGTTGATTCTATATCTTTTCTATTTATTATAAACAGCACTGCAATAAACATGGGGCTACAGTTATCCCTTTGATATACTAATTTTCTTTCCTTTAAACAAATATCCAGTAGTGGGATTGTTGGATAATGCGGTTTGCATTTTCTTGAGACACCTCTATGCTGTTTTCCATAATGTCTGCTCTAACTTACATTCTTGCCAACGATATATAAGTTCCCTTTTCTCTACATCTTTGTCTTCATTTTTATTTATTTGTTTTTTTGATAATAGCCATTCTTACAGGCTCCTACAACTACAGAATATCATAGCCAGAAGGAGCCTCATCTAGCCTCTGCTTTAGATTGAAAGAGGAAAGGCCTAGAGACAGCAGGGCACTGTGGAACCACAGGGTGAGGCAGTGGCAGAAGCAGGATGAGAGTTGTGGTTTTGATTTGCATTTTCCCTGATGATTAGTAATACTGAGCATTTTTCCTAGACATGTTGTTCATTTGTATGTCTTCTTTTGAGAAATATATATTCAGGTCCTCTGCCCATTTTTAAATTGTGTTATTTGTGTTCTTTCGATTGAGTTGTTTGAGTTCCTTATACATTTTGGATATTAACTCCTTATCAGACGTATAGTTTCCAAATGTTTTCTCATTTTGTAGTTGTCTCTTCACTCCATTGTTCGTTTCCTTTTCTGTACAGAAGCATTTTAACTCGATATAATCTTATTTGTCTATTTTTGCTTTTGCTGTCCATGTTTTTGAAGTCAAATTCAGAAAGACACTGCCTGACCAATATCATGGAGCTTTTCTCCTGTTTTTTTTTTTTTTTTTTTGTTTTTGTAGTTTCATAGTTTCAAATCTTAAATTTACATTTTTAATTTATTTTAAATTGATTTTTGTATACAGTGTGAGATAAGCATTTCGTTCTTCTTCATGAGAATACCCAGTTTTTTAGTAACACTTATTCAAGAGACTTTCCTTTCCCTATTGTGTGTTGTTGGCACCTTTGTCAAAGATCAGTTGATAGCAAATATATGGATTAATTTCTGGGCTCTCTATTCTCTTTCAATGGTCTATGCATCTGTTTTTATGCCAGTACCATGCTGTTTGGGTTACTATAGCTTTGTAGTATATTTTAAAGTCAGGTAGTGTGATGTCTCTCTGCTCCTAAACAATTCAGAAGAAGCAAGATGGGAGGCTCTGCCCTAGGCTTGGTGTCCTGACTTGGTGTCCTCAGGCATGGTGCCCTGCTTCCTCCTGTCATTCTTGTCTCTGGGGGGCTTGTCATACTGCACAGCTTCTGCTATGAAGCCCACCAGTCCCTCTCACCAAAGGTAGGGGTAAATGAGGAGGAATGTGGTTCCAGACCATTCCACTTCTGCTCTCCTAAGTCCCACATCAGTGCATACCCAGACCGGATGTTTTGTGGAGTAAAGGAAAAGGAACAATCTTGTATTGGGGTCAAACACCACACAGGAGAGCTCATCAAATCTGGTTCTCACAATAGTGTCCCAAACAAAAAATAACTTGCTCAAGGTCACACAGTTAGAAGTAGTAGAGCCAGAATTTGAACCTAGGTAAAAGAGACTTCAAATTTTGTTTTTCTACCAAAACATGCTGCATCTGGTGTTACAATCCATGATGCTTCAGGAACCATACCTTTCAGTCACCCAACACACAAGCAGTCATTACCAAGCCTTCTGCATTGTATGTGGGCTGGGACAGCCCTACTTTACAGAGAAGAAAATACCCCAGAAGACCAGCCATTTTAAGATGTGCCAACAAAACTGGAGATAGACATTTCAAGGCACAAATAGAAAGACCTAGACTCTCATCCTGATTCTGCCACTGCCTCACCCTGTGATTCCACAGTGCCCTGCTGTCTGTAGGCCTTTTCTCTTCCAATCTAAAGCAAAGAGGCTAGATGAGGCCTCTTCTGGTTATGATAGTCTGTAGTTGTCGGAGCCTATTCTACAAGGGAAATGTGTACTTCCACAACCTAGCTTTCCATGAAGTTGCTCCCACAGACTATAATTTTCAAGAATTGGTAGCTGTGGATATATTCACTGTATATCATCGTAGGACCTGGGAAACACTGACTAAACAAATAAATGAGTGAATGAATAAATGCGGATGCTTTACATTGACAGCACAGCCCATGCTGACCTCCTTCCTCCACGTGGTCAGTGCAGTCCTGCCATTAGTTAATCTGTGTGTCTCATGCCATCTGTGAGCTCTGATTGGCTCACTTCCTGCCGTATGGATTCGAGCTCTCACTAATGGGTTTGACATCTGCAAGCAATGCTAACATACCTGGTGAGAGACACCTTATCTATGACAGGTGGGTAGGTTGTGCCCCACCCATTCTATAGGCTGGGAAGGCAAGGCATGGAGAAGTCAGATGACTGGTGCAAGTGCCAGGATGACTCACAGGGTTATCCCAAATGCTCCTAGAACCTCCCTTGCGTGTATCTCTTTGCATACAAGCTCATACAATCAGAGTCTTGTGGATTCATGGAAAACTAGTCCAGGGTAATAGGCAGAGAGAATCATCTCCAAGGCAGGAAGTACTAAAGCAGGGCATGGAGTCTGGCCCCTGCCAGAATGCAATTAAATACCTGTGTCATACAGCCTAATGGGCTGCTCTCCTTAGAAAGATCTGCTAATCTTTAAAAGTTC